AAAAAGTTAATCAATGATCGATGCAGTTGATGTTCAAAGCAATGAAAAAAACTGCCTGCAACATTAATCATGAACATCAAGTACACCAAGCAGGCCTCCCGAAAAGCACTACGTGTCTTCTACGTATGTGTCGGTGGCCGGATGAAGGATTGAGCCCTTGGAGTGACCATGAGTGACTAGAAAAACCAGGGAACTGGTTTCCAAGTAGCCAAACGGCTGGTCAAACAGTGTCCAGTGATCGCTCCAAGACTCACCTGTGTGATGAAGGTATATGAAGGTATATGAAGGTGTGCTGGGGTCAAACCTTCAACTATCAAGAACAGTGTTTCCTTCCCTTCCCTTCATCCTAGCCCAACAAACACCTTGTATGCTCCAGTGGATGCACCACAACCCATGGCGAAGCTTGCGGCTTGAACGGGGTTTGCGGCTGAAATGGTTGGCTCGGATTCGCGGAAACTGAATCTACCCAAAACGAATATATACAAAGAGAGCGGGAGTAGGAGGAGGAGGAGGAATAGGAATAGGGGTGGGAGTAGCAGTAGTGGTAGTGGTAGTGGTAGTAGTAGGAGTAGCAGCAGTAGTAGTAATAGTAACAGTAAGAGTAACAGTAATAGCAATAATAATAGTAGTTGTTGTTGTGGTGGTAGTAATTGTAGTAGCAGTAGAAGAAATACAGTAGTAGAAATAGTTGAACTTCAAACCCCAGTGCGAGCACAAATGCAAGTTTGTTATTGTTGTTTCTGCTAGGACTGCGACAATGACTACGACGATTTCTGCTACAACCACTGCAACAGTGCAACAAACCTCCTGAGAAACCTAAAAAAAAGACCTAACACGACACTTGGAAAATTGTAGCAAGTTGGGCATTTAGAGTCACACCGGTTCCTAGCACCAAAAAAAGCGATTCAAACGAAAGTTGTCAGTGCAAAGGTTTGAGCGCATGCAAGTAAGAATTCGTTTTGTTGGCGAGTTTGGCGAGGTTCTTGCGACAAGTGATGGAATTTTCGTCTGCAGAAAGCTTCCGGTGTGGCGTGGCGCCAGCAGAAGGGCACTGTGATAGAGGCACAGTTTGTTTCCACCCAAACACCCTGGCCGACCATAGCTTGGTTTACTCTTGGCAAAGGTGTGGTTTTGTTTTCAAATGTCTTGGAGGTTGTGAGGCACAGGTTTTGCACCATCCTGTTTACAGCTACTAGTACTCCAAAGTGAAGTAAGACGCAATAGTTTACAGCTACTCCAAAGTGAACACCCAGGGCTTGATGCAAAAAACAATTGAAAAGGAACCCTCACTCTATTCCAGTCCCATCTTCCCCGACATCTGCGGAAATACACCTCAGCCAGCATACATACATACATACATACATACATACTTGCGTTGCATTGCATTGCATTGCATTACACATTTCATACAATACATACATTACAAACATTACATACATTGCATACAAAACAAACATTACATACATTACATACATGGCATACAAAACAAACATTACATACATAACATGCATGACATGCGTCGCATACATAACATACATTACATACATTACATGCATACGTACATGGCATACAAAACAAACATTACATACATTAAATACATTGCAGCCAAAACAAACATTACATACATTAAATACATTGCATACAAAACAAACATAACATACATGACATACATTGCATACATAACATACATTACATACATTAATTACATACATACATACATACATACATACATACATACATGATTACAAACATACATACATACATAACATAACATACATTGCGTACAAAACATACATTACATACAAACATACATAGCGTACATAACATACATAACATACGCAACATGCATACCATACATACATACATACATACATACATACATACATACATAACATAACATAACATAACATAACATACAAACATACAATATCGCTCTCAATTGTTTTAGCCAAGCGGCTGAGAAGACCATGTTGTTTTGAAACATTGCACTATCTTCAAAAGCTTGCGCTTCAAGGCAAACTTAACTTGGCACCATACTTCATGTAATGATGTTTGCGTAACAGGATTCACACACAAAACATTCACAGACATGTTTACATGTTTCGATCATATCTCAGGGAGTTCAGGCGCACGGTGTGTTGGTGTTAAAGAAGATCAGGCCACAAATGCTGCCTTTAAAGTTGGCGCTTGAATGGCCAGTTTTCATGAGTCCTCGCCAGGGCACACATCAAACAGCACCTCATAACAGAATGAATTCGATGAGACCTGCCCAAGATAGTTTGAGGGCTCAAGCTAATCATAGCCGGAAAACACCTGAAGCGTTGCTGGACTTTGGCAGCATCGCAAGCCACGTTGACGCAAAGACCACCACATGACCACCGATATAATAAAGTGTTCCAACAACTCTGTTTCTCCTGAACGGAAGCATTGACGAGCAAACTGTTCAACGCCAACAACACTGCACATGATCTTCGCGCGCGACTTTTCGGGGTCAACAAGCGCTGGCCGAAATAGCCACAGAAGCTGCCTTTAAAGTTGGCGCTTTGGTGGCTGGGTTTGAGCTGGGCCCTCTTTGCGCGTGTCCCACAAAAAACACATCGAAACAAAAATAGTTTCACGATACTCCTATCCGAACAAAACTTCAGGGCCTATAGGGGGATCGCGCATTGTGTTCGCACGCGTACTTTCGAGACCATCTTGATTTGATGTCTAAACTGGAAAGCAATCGATGAAAAGCTGGCGCCTGATCCTTCCACGTCTTGACACGTCAGTAGGGAACTTCATCTGCATCTTGCGGCACTGCTACTTAGTACAATAGACCGAAGTACGCCGGAGTACAGATTTCCTAGCAGGTGCAATACTTTGCGAAAATTGTCAGAACATGGTCGCTCCTTTTTCCGCTGATGCAAAACCCACCGTAAAGTACGATGTCATGTCTGTATATGTTCATGTGACACTCTAGTCTGCCCACGTCATGTCGCTAGTCATTTTGACCTTCTGAGTTTCGCGAAACTAGGATGGGTGATTCGTCGAGTTTCCTCGCGTTTCCTGCTCCACTGGTCTTGATCTGTTTGGGCCACCTCCACATCTTGAAGATGTCCTTCACCATGTAGTCAAACCATTGTCGACTCATTCTCAAAGGCATCAGCTTCTTTTGGTGGAAGTCGAAGCATGACGTCATTGGCACGCAGGTCTGAAGCTCTTCCACCTTCTTCTGTGGTTCCATGCCTTGCTTCGTAGAGCGCTCGAATCTCTGCAGCTTCTTGAGCTCCTTCATGCTCACGCATGCTTTCCAAATGAAGCGATCAAAGCTCTTCAGTAGCACTAACCCTGCCCCGATTCTCTTCCAGCGTCAAGTAGGTGTGTCTCAACAAGCACGCTCTCTTGGGGTCATGTGAGCTGTCAGCTGTCAGCTGATTGCCTTAGCACTTTCGACTTTTTGACTGGCATCTTCCAGTAATAATTACCTGTTGTCACTGTTGTCGACGTCTTGTTCTCTGTTCATTTAATCACTGATGAACTCCAGTCATTTTCTGGCAGTTCTTCTGAATCGCAGCTAGACACTAGTCTACCTTCCTCAGGCTCCTATCCATCTTCACCTCGGCGCGCAACTTGTCCGTGTCCAAGATCATGATCTCCGCCTCCACGATGAACTCATCGAACTTGTTCTGGATGTAGTCTTAGTGAATAGCGGGCCTCCGCCTCGTTCACGCCGACCCTTCCTCACCATTTTCTCAGCGATGTCTTGTCGGCCCTCACCCTGCTTTGCGGTTCTTCTGGGCTTGGTCCTTCACCAGCTCTTGCTCTGGAACTTGATCATCTTGTGGTAATTCATCTTCTACCAGCTCTGTGCGCGCGCGTTCCTTCATGCGTGGGCAGCCCCCAACCGAACCTTATTGCATCGCGTCATCCATGCTTCTTCCCACTGTCAATCCTGTGATTGAATCCCACACTTGATGTTGTTGTCAACAATGTCACGATGCCTGGTCATAGTCCTCGCGTCAGTTCTTGGAAAACTTGTTGGGCAAGTCAAGTTGTAGAATACTATAACGCTGCAATCTGACCGCACAGCACAAGAGGCCATCACCACCGTCCGCACCGCGATCACCAGATTCTTCACAGTGATGTTGCCCAGGGCGCTTTGGGCTCAAGCATCACTTTCTGCTCGATAGCCTTGTCTGTCTCAACGGTCTCTGTCTCTGCCGCCGAGCCCTGGCCACTGATTCATAGTTGGATTCAGAGTAGATGGCACAGTTCTCAAGAGGTGGTTTATATGGGACTAGATGATGCTGTGCCATCTACTCTGAAACCTTGAGCCCACTCCCAATTCGGGCTCCAGCGAGACGATCCCCAGGACCAGATTCCAAAGTGCCATTCGGACTAGACCACCACTCATTTTCATCGCTAGACACCATGTTCAAGTGCTCCGCCGGTCGTCGTTCCGAAGATGCCCTCTCACCCGACGACGACCCACTTCCACTGCCACCGGGTGCCCCAACCCCACCATCATCGTTGCATATGTTGGCATGGCCCGCAATGATCAAAAGCAGCCACCCCGCAGCCAAGCCACCACGCTCAGGCGCCCACTAAAAGTGAAGGGCACTGGCGCACGGGCCAAGGTGGCGGCTATTGATCGCACGTGACAACACAAGCTGAACCGGCAACGAAACCTCATGAACGCTCCTTTCGACAATAATAAGCTTTAATTATGAATTATGAATGGACACCGGCTTGCTTCTGTCTTTTGTTTACGTTAGCCCATTCTTATCTAATCCTTTTACAGAATAGGGTAGAGAACAGTAAACTCAGAAACGAGTGCTATGGGGTAAGTAGGGCTGTGAGGCGAACCATTAAATACGACAAAGCAGGTAACAGACAAGAAAACCGATACACATGATTCATGATAGAAAAGGCTGACAAAGAGCAAGTGGTAGATCTTGGGAGGTGGAGGTGGCCACGTTTGAGGCTAGGCTAAAATAGATGAATTGAACGTATCCAAAACGGAATTCCGAGGTCAGGCACCGTACGAATTCGGTCAATGCTGCAGGTGCTTGGCTTCCCTGCTTGGGTGCAACTGAATTCAGGCCGAATATATGTGTCACGGCATCCTGCACAGGTGATCAAAGATAGTAAGCAATGGAAATAATTGTGAGCATGGTCCAACTTGATTTAGCAATGCTTGATGGGTTCGATCTTGAAGTAGTGTTGATCTGATCAAACACTTTCATAGCAACTGTCCTCTGTTTGATTCCGCGACTAGAACATTTCGCATTCTGAGTCTTCACAGTCATCAGGAAGTGGAGAAGATGAGACCTTAGTGGCTAGGAGCATGTAGGTTCTTCCTACAAAGCTTCTGCAGGAATTATTCCAAGGACTGGGTAACATCTGAAGACCCGCAGTGAGGTCCCAACTGCGCCCTTCCCAGATGATGTTGCGGATGAAGATGTCTCGGAAAAAAGAAAGGCTTGATAAAACATTGTATAGCTATGGTACAAAATAGGAACTCATTGATTGAAAGTCAGCAACACGCAGGCTGCAAACAAATCATTTCCAGCTCTTGTGGCATCGATTAGAAGACTTTATGTGAGACACCGGCCATGGAAGTTCTGGGCGGTGTTGTCACTGAGGACGCCTTGGCCACTGGAGGCTGGAGGAATCATTACAAATAAGAAGGATACTCTTGATTCAATACCTGCGAGAACTATATACAGTAGCAGTAGCAGTAGCAGTAGTAGTAGTAGTAGGAGTCGTAGTCGCAGTCGCAGTCGCAGTCGCAGTCGCAGTCGCAGTCGCAGTCGGAGTCGTAGTCGTAGTCGTAGTAGCAGTAGCAGTAGCAGTAGCAGTAGCAGTAGCAGTAGCAGTAGCAGTAGCAGTAGCAGTAGCAG